AATTGCTACTGTACAAAAGGATTATAAAGAGTACATGTTTGCTTGCTACCCAAATTTCTATTCACAATAATCATTTATCTTTATTATTTGCTATTTTCCAGGTATTCCTAAGCAATAATGAAATTATTAAGTATTCAGAAATAATGACATTTTGCTAATGCTTAATCCATTTCTTAAAATGAAGAAATGAAAAATATTGGTGAAAGTTCTTATGAAATACAAAAGAATCAGCAATCATTTGAAGTTAACCAGCAGTAACTATTTAAGTATGCAGGAATGTAGTATTAAATAGACTGTGTCTACAAGACATTCCTAACTTCAAGAAGGTCTGCTTGTCTTCTCAGTACTATCAGCATGAGACGGAGTTTCTCCCTGTTATATAATATGGCAAAGGCAGAGAAGTCACTCACCTTTTCACCCTCTGTGATGATCTGGATAGCATTTGGAATGAGTCGAGCAGTTTTCTCCTTGGTTATAAAGGTTATGTTCTTTAAAGCAATTGAAATCTAAACATGCAAAAATAATAAAAAGAAACTGAAAAGTATATTTTCAGAAGTATGTAGAACATAAAATACCAAGTGTTACATCAATCTAATCCAGACAATATGGCTGAAAAACCTGCTATGGGAGGTCAAAAGCACATGCCTGTGTTTTCTGTGAAGAACAAGGTCAGTAGTCAGACATGCTTCCCTTTAGCATCCTGCCAATCAAGCCCTGGTCCTAACACTAGGACTGAATGTGAAAAGGCATATGGGAGTTCAGGTTCCACATTTATAGTGAATACACAAACACAGTCTAGACAGTCTTTCAAATAAGACATGGTTTTGGCAGTTCTATCTTTTTCTAACCAGGAAGCTTTCTCTAACTATAGTAAATAAGCAAAGCTGGGGCCCAAGATATTAAGCTAGAAAAACATATTAGACATTTATATAAATAATACATAAATACATTTTTATATATGTAAGTATAGATAAACAAATATATATGCTTTTACTTTGGAATCACCTAAAATATATTGTTTGTAAGGGTACTTTGTATATTTATAACTATGCAATTATTTGTATGAATAAATCAAATGCAAACATATCTTACTGTAGTTCCCCATCTGAAGATGTTGCTATAGAAACACAGCCAGTTTTCTGAAAGGTACAGTCGTCCCTGAAGCAAAATATCCTTCTGAAGGGCACAAGCATAATCTGTATACACAGAAGTAAGAGCAATTTATTCACAAGCATCTGGCAACTGAATACACCTTATACTATTTTAGCAAGTGGAAAGTCATTCATTCATCCATTCATTCACTTACATACCATGTACCAGCTGTTTTGTTATTCAGTAGGTTCATCAGAAATGATTCCTGCCCTCAAGGAACTATGTAGAAGGAAGGGAGATATGGTGGGTAATATTGTCAGCTTGGCAGAATCTAGAATCATTTAGGAGATAAGCATCTGGGCATGCCTATGAGGGATTATCTAGATTAGCCTGAGATACGAAGACCTAATTTGAATATGGGGTGGCACTATTCCACAGGCTGGGGTCCCAGACTGTACGAAAAGGAGAAAACTAGCTGAGCACAAGCACTCATCACACTCCTGACTGGTGGACTCAATGTCACAAGTCACCTCAAATGCCTGCCACAATGATTTCCCCACAGTGATGGGCTGTACCCCTAAACTATGAGCCAAAATAAAGTCTTTCTCCCTTAAGTTGCTTTTTTCTGGGCATTTTACCACAGCAACAGGAAAAATAACTAATACAGCATGCAAATTGTATTATTTAATTACATTTCTGGTGGCTGTGCCCAAATACCAAATGACACAAAAAGCAGCTTAAGAGAGGAAAGGGTAATTTTGGATGACAATTCAGAGAAATGTAATCCATCATGGCAAAGAACGGGAACTGATTCATAGTACCAACCAGGAATGTCAGTGCTTAGCTGACCTTCTCCATTTTCCCCTCCTATTCAGTGCAGGACCCTAGCTTGTGGGATGGTGCCATCCACATTCAGTGTAGGTTTATCCCTTCAGTTAAAGCTCCTGGAAACTCCCTCACAGATACACCCAAAGGTATGTCTCCTAGGTGACTCCAAATCTAGTCAAGTTGATGATGAAAATTAGCCATCACACAAATACAAAGATAAGTTTGATGATCACCAAAGCTCAAAGACAGCTATAACAGCATAAAGCAAGACTTACTATGCAGCTAACCAGGGAGGGTATGGAGAGAGCACTGCCAGGAAAGATAGCTCTAAAGAAACAACTTTAAAAAGGTAAAGTCTAAAGATCAATAAAGAGTCAGCAGGATTATGAGGGAAAAGGCCTGTGGCAGAAAAGACACATAGCACATTTGAGGAAGTAAAATGAAAGAGACACCTCTGGACTGGAGAAGCTAGAGAAGCTTGATCCTTAAAGCTTCATAGACCAGTGCAGATGGACTAGGAGAAGCCACTGATGAGCTTTAAGTGGAAGGGACATGTCACATGTATGTGTTTAAGTACCATTTTATTCACACCATGAAAATGCTTTCTGACTAGCCAACTACAAGTCCAAAAGCAGGTTGATGGTGACTCAGATCAGAAGTAGACAATATTAAGAAAACTAAGCACAAACATTCAAAGATATTTAGAAGGTAGCACTAATGGGAAATTGGCAATTGATTAGATGTTGCATGAGAATAAGAGAATGATCAAAGATGCCTTAGAAAGTTGTGCCAGGCGTGGTGTGCACACCTTTAATCCCAGCACTTGGGAGGCAGAGGCAGGCAGACATCTGTGAGTTCAAGGGCAGCCTGATCTACATAGAGAGTTCCAGGTTAGCTGGGGCTACAGGGAGACCCTGTCTCAAAAAGACCAAGAAAAAAAGAAAGCTGTATATACCTGGAGATACAGATTAGTTGGTAAAGTGCTTGTTTGGCATCCATGAAGCCTTGGGTTTGATCCCTCACACCACACGCACAAAAATTGTATACAATTTAAGTCAGTTTCAAAGTTGATCCTTTCCACATCAACAGTAAAACACAGCAAAACGAAGTCCAGTTTAAAGAAGAAAAAAGAAACTTCTTTAAATGTCATTGCCTACTAAGCACATTACTAATACTATTGAAAGTTTTGTCAACTTGACACAATCTAGAGTCACCTGTGAAGAGTCCAATGAGGAACTGTCTAGATTGGGTTCACCTGTGAGCATATCTGTGGGGATTGTCTTGATTACACTGAGGTGGGAAGACCTGCCCATTGTGAGTGGCACCATTCCCTGGGTGGGGTCCTGGACTGAATAAGAGTGGAAAATTGAACTGTGCACAAGCATGCATGCATTCTTTGCTCTCTGTTCTTGGTTACAAACACGATGTGAGTAGCTCCTTCAAGCTTCTGCCACTGTGACTTCCCTGCTGTGATAGACTGTAACCTGTAAATGTGCACTTAAATAAACCCTTTTCCCCCTAAGTTGCTTGGTCAGGGTATTTTGTCATAGCAACTGGAAACTAAGACAATCATAATGCCTCTAAGACTAAGGGATAGTTCTGTGACTAATGTGAAAGAAAGTTCCCAGAAAAACTGCATCTTAAAACTGAACATTCTATTCTACAAAGGCTGATCAAGTGATTAGAACGTCAGTAATTGTGGAGAGTTTGGAATGTTTCAAGTCCAGAGCCTAATTACCATCTATCTTGGGCCATCTTTAGCCACCCAAATAGTCACTCCCTGCCCACCTTTGTTTCTGACTTAACATCCTGTGACTAACTAACCTTTTGGAATGTATTAACCCAGCATACCACCAGCTTCCACCAACCAAAAGGCTGAATGCCATCAGAAAGCATCTGAGGCTTATAGTTGAGTTTTCTCTTCTATTGTATCCACCTACTTAATGTTCCCACTAATGTATTTGAAAAGTGTCTTGATTTATGATTTTTCTTTGTTCTGTTACTATAAAAACTTGATGAAACTTACCCCATTAGAACATGGAATTTGAAGGAACCCGAATCTGTGTTCCCAAGCCATGATCATTTATATTTGGCTCCAGAATAATTTTATCCCTTTTGAGGTCAGAGTTACGCTTTCACATCAACACTAGTGTAAACAGTAATGCTAAATTACTGATAATACAAGATACGAAAAGTTGCTATAAGGTGATTTAACTGCTAAATTTTAAAATTACATAAAGTAATCTGCAATTTTTAAAAAGTTGCATAGTCGGGCATGGTGGCACACACCTGTAGTCCCAGCACTTGGGAGGCAGAGGCAGGTGGATCTCTGTGAGTTCAAGGCCAGCCTGGTCTACATAGTGAGTTCCAGGACAGCTGGGGCTACAGGGAGACCATGTCTCAAAAAGACCAAAAATAATAAATAAATAAATAAATAAATAAATAAATAAATAAATAAATAAATAAATAAAAAGTTGCATAAGCCTAAAAATATTTAAACTTGGTTGGGTTAAATTTCTAAGCAAATATTAAAAACTGAGCAAAGTAGTCAATCTTTCACAATGCTTCCCTCAGAAAAACAAAGATGAGATGCCACCAAACAAAACTCCAAGTAAATAGTTAAGCAGATTAGGTTGCTCATTTACTAGTATGTATGTTCAAAACAGATTGGGTTAAAGGTCACCTTGAGGTGTCATGAAATTTTTTTTTGTCTTTTTTTTTTGAGACAGGGTCTCCCTGTAGCCCCAGCTATCCTGGAACTCACTATGTAGACCAGGCTGGCCTTGAACTCACAGAGATCCACCTGCCTCTGCCTCCCAAGTGCTGGGACTACAGGTGTGTGCCACCATGCCCTGCAAAATTTTTATCTTAAGCAATGAAACAGCAATGTTATGTTTTCAGTCCTTCTAGACTTCAGAAACACCTGATTGATTTATTTTATATAGTACAGCACACTAGGCCTCTCCCCAGAGTTAAGTAGGTCTGGGGCAAGGTTAAGAGTAATGTCTAATGGGCTGTCAGGTGATGCCTATCTTGATACTTTATAGATCATGCTACAGTATTTTATACTATTTTAAAAGCTACATTAAGCACCTGGAATATTTTAACTGGACTACTTGCTACACATTGACAGACTCTTCAGTAATTTTAAAGCAAGACTTACCTTAAATGTTTGTTAATATAAATATAAACCGCAGTAAAAAAGTTGATTTTTTAATATAGCAAAGGCATTATATTATATGCAAGAGATAAAGCAATTTCATTAAAAAAGCAAAGATATTTTATTTTATTTTTTGTGCTCCCAACTTCCCTACTGATAAATGAGAATGTACACAAAAATAATCAGCATTTCCAGAGACACGGTTCTACCTGACTTGAGTTATATTAATAATCTGACTTACCTAGAATAGAATAGGAATATAAAGTTTATCAAAAATTGTTATGAGCCAGGCATGATGGCACATGCCTTTAACCCAAGCAACTCAGGAGGTAGAGGCAGGAGGATCTGTGTGAGTTCAAGACCAGCCTGGTTTATATAGTGAGTCCCAGGCCAGCCAGGGTTACATAGTGAGACCTTGTCTCAAAATAATAACAAAAAATAATGTTATGGGTTTTATAACTCTATAATGGATTATTAGAAAGCTATAGTAAAGCTAAAGAAATTAACCAAGCAACTTAGGTCACTTTGATATATCCTGTTTAAACATCGATTTACTAGCTATCACATGATCAATTTCAGCACAATTAAATGGCTCCAACTTGCAAAGATTTATTTTAGTAACTACAATAAAACAAAAGATAAAGAACAAAGTGCTATGGGAATACAGGAGCAAATCAATATCATATACTTAAACATTAAGCTTATTAAATAGTAAACACATGTTTAAATAAATAAGATGGACTATATTGTCTCACTAAAGAACTTGGGCAGCACTGGCTGTTCTTGCAGAAGACCAGGGTTTGATTCTTAGCACCCACATGGCAGCTAACAACTTCCCTAACTACACTTCCAGGGGATCAGATGCCCTCTTCTGACCTCGGGCATTGCCCAACATGGATATACATATTCAGGCAATACATTCATACACATTAAATAAAAATAATAAATAAAAATTTTAAAAGAAAGGCATACTGTCCATAAGGAAGGAAAAAATTAAGAGAATATCAGGCTTTTGAAACAGTAATGTCAAGAAGAATAAAAATAAATTGAGAAAAAAACAAAAACCCCCAAATTGGCACCTCATTTTTCCTGGTGCAAAGGGAAACAAGTATCTTT